TGATATGCATTCTAATGCAATGCATTGCGTTTAATCTGTTTGATGGAGGTAGTGCAAACCATATTCGACGACAGATTATGGTACCCTAAGATATTATTTAATTTTTTAACTTACACAAAATTGCGATTATAGACATGTTTCACTCACAAACAAAACATTGAAAACGTAAAAACATCTATTTCAATATCTCGATATTTAAAAAATTATAGAATCCTCGATGTTTCGTCCCAATACTCAGTCAACGCTAGATATAGTACAAACATAAGAATATGCTTCGAATGGGGGGGGGGCGATAATAGTCTCAAATATTGACTCAAACCGGTCAATGTGGAACGTGCCCTTTGGGATTATCTTTGTTGACCAAAATGCGGGTCAAGTTCATAGATATTAGAGATCCAGGGAATCTTGACTGATAGTGCACTGTCAATGAAACTTCGTACCTTATTTCTTTAAACAGAATGTGGTTCTTGACTTTAGGTCATTCAATATCAAAACCATCTACCAGCCCGCGAAAACTTAAGCCGGAAGATCTTGTTAATGAATAGCCTAGACTCTTAAACCTTTTGTAATTTTAAGAGGTGAGGATAATAGAATCGTTTCTTAAAAACTAATATTTTACCATTATAATTAACAATAAGTGGCTAAATGTTCCAGGTGTTTCATTAAATTAAACATAATATAATTTTTTTTTTCGTTTGTTGTAAAACAACCTTTGAAATGCTGAGTAAATGACATGTGTCATTGTTTCCCTAAATGTTTCGTTATTTTCTAACATTACGACATAAACGAAAGTTATTGAAAGCAATTTAATTTTATATTTTTTGCAAAAAATTAAAGAAAGTGTTTTGAAACATTAATAATATTGCACACGTTTCAAACTATCTCTGGATACTGTCTTCCTATACACTCTCTTATCTTTATATTTAAAAACCCTCAATTTTTGCTTCGCTAAGTATAGCACAGATTCGTTTTCTCGCTCTAGGTCAAGCCCTTCGTGAAAAAGGTCTTGATACAACCCAAGGACGTAATTATGTCGACAAATAAGGGTTAATTCCATTTATTTTGACTTTATTAAACTTTAGTATTTATGCTACAAACCGATTAATAATAGACTATATCTGCGGCTGGCGTATGCATTTGAAGCGAAAACGTACAAAATTTGAATGAGTTGGTATATCAAATTTCTTTCTAAACTAAACCTTTAGGATTTGAAATATGTGGATTACTTCAAAGTTTGAGATCGCAAAGTGAAAAAGGAGAGGCTTCTTGGGCAGGGATAGTACATTTTGAAAATTGGTTTCTATAGTATTACCAAGGTGCAGTTTTCTCCTGTTACAGAGAACACGCCACATACTTCTTATGCAAGCGTCATTCATCTATACTAAATTTAAGCAATACTTTGTACAAATTGGTTCAAGTGTTTACTAGCACAATTAATCCATAAGATGCGTTTTAAATATTTTTAATGTAGAAAATTTACTTACAGATTAGTCAAATTTGTGTGAAATACAATCAACATCTCCACTGAAAACGCAACATTATCTTTCGTTGGGAAAACAACAATATGTAGACCAATGCTGCATTGACATTTGCAAATAGAGCAAATGGGAACAATAGTTTTAATTATCTATTTTTTAAAAGTGGTCACTCTAGGGAGCAACAGTTTATTAAAATTATGGATATGGATTGCTTTCAATTAGCATTGCGAATTGTATTGTTTCTATGTGCAGGATAACAATGAATATGATTTTCGAAGATATACTTTCGATGAATAAATTCATTATTCACTCTACAAAAGTAAAACATAACAGCATTACACATGTTTTACTTCATAAGAATCCATAAAGTGAATCGTTTATGTCAGGCATGACAAAGTTAACTATAAGCCTGAATATCAATGTAGAATTTATACTCGTTGACGAAATGTGTGGTCGTTCTACAAGGTGTCTTCGAATAAATGGTGCTAACATCTAGGGGTCTCAAACTCTTTTAGGGTTTGAAAATGATAATTTTTGACAAAATAAACATGTGATGGTTAAACTCCCATAAAGATGTGACATTTGCCAATGATCAGTAGGCAATCCATTAGGAACTAGTGCTAGATACACGCACGTTCTGACGCAAAAATATTGCGAGACAAATTGCCTACTAACCAATAATAAATGGCATGTGTGTAACTTCGTCATATGGTATTTCCTACCATATGTTTATTGGAAAAGTTGTCTTCGACCCTCTACATGCCTGAAAGATTGTATCATTTATTCTGTGACATTTTGTGTTTGACCACCACTGAAGTTTTTAATCTGCGAGTCGAAGTACTACAACAAACTAAATAAAGCAGAAAAGTAGAATTAAAGCAAACCAATTAGGTTTAGATTTTCAAGGACCCCCCCCACGACTTGTTTATATATATGATAATTAGGTTCATAAACCAGAGTAGGAAAAATACGCGATTTTCTAAATCTAAGAATATATGAATAGATGGGAAAGTGTTTATGGGAAAAGTATACATGTCAATGTAGGATTCTTATTTTTTAGAGTTGGATTTCATTTCTTCATTACTTATGAGACTTCAGCTATATTACATTAATTTGAAGCATTCTCATTCAATCAAAACTATGAAAGTCGCTGAAATTACCCTTACAGGTCTTTTCTTAACAGCACTTCCAGATGTGTTAAAATTAGTTTCCATTAGCAGAAATTTTATTTTCCAATTTTTTAAAGATCAAGATTTATGCAGAGAATGATGCAGTGAAATGTTCACCGTTCTAATCGTCCAAGATGATTCGTGACAACCATTATCATCGTCCTTATCACGTCTGTGTTATGACCTTAGAGTTCTTAAACAGCAGAAGCCCTATTTCAGGTACTTTCATCTTTTTGATTGCATAAGAATGCTTCAAATTAATGTATTATACTAATGTATAATAGCTGAAGTCTCATAAGTAATGAAGAAATGAAATCCAACTCTAAAAAATAAGAATCCTACATTGACATGTATACTTTTCCTATAAACACTTTCCCATCTATTTATATATTCTTCGATTTAGAAAATAGCGTATTTTTCCTGCTCTGGTTTATGAAGTGAGTTGAAATGAAGTAACCCGTAGGTCAAGACGTATTAAGATAATAAAAACTCACCACATTTTCACTATCCCTTCGAGTTATGAGTAATCCTTAGCAAACTTCTAACCGGGCTGCGCTGTTTCGGCAATGACACCTCAAATTTATGAAGTACGTCTAGCTCTGAAGAATAACTACCAAAACACTTCATCCCTCAAGGGCTGAAAACATGCAACCCAATACCCCTCTAGGACGGGAAGCATACAAAACCTGACATTAGGCCATACTATGCATTTTTTCTCCTTGTGGACTCTTTTCTATATTGGTTATATTTGGTTTTTATTTTATTACAAGCATGAACCGTGTTCGGTACTACATACAATCTGAAAATAAAACTTTATTCAAGAAATGAAACCTAACCACACTATTTTTATCTTCCAGTTCACATGCCTCTTTTACGGAAATGTCTCGAGAAATGCGCGTTTTTTTTAATTACTTCAAGCAGTGATCATTGATAACTACAACAACATTAGAATACCATGCAACAACACGAATTGTTCAAAAATTAAAAATTAGGGCCAAAAGATTGCGTGTTCTTCTCATATCACTATTCTATTCTATAAAGTATTTTAGTGTATTACATCCATGCAACATGCTCGGTACTACATAAATTCAATCGATCAAACCTTATTTAGGGAATGAAACTCCACAATAATTCTTTATCACCCTCAGTTCCCTTGCGCCATTTTTTCAAAATCACATTCAGGGAATGAAACATTCCACAATGATTCATCACCTTAAAGAGTTCTCCTGCAGCATTTTCTACAGCCTTAATCAGGGAATAACATACCACAATAATTCATTACCGCCCTCGAGTTCTTCTGCGCCATTTACCCCAACCTTATGGAGGGAAAGAAACGTTCAACATGGATTTATCACCTTTGAGTTCTCGCGCGTTCTCTTCCTCACGTATCTTCCTGCGCGAGTCGGGAGCGGAGGCGTCCGCACGGGCAGGAAGGCGTGGGCGGCCAGCGAGGCGCGTACTTGCGCAGAAGGCGCCGGGCGTCGCGCAGCGCGCAGAAGGCAAAGCGCTCGGGCAGCGCGCAGACAGCGGCGGGCGCGTCGCACAGGCACAGCTCGACGCACGCGCACACTGACAGACCCACGGCGCCGCACGCGCCCGCGGGCACCTCGCACGCACACGCGCACGCACACGCGCGAGCGCACGAACACGCCCCGCGCGCGCACAGGAAGCACAGGGCGGCCGGCGCGCACGCCGTCAGCGCCGCCGACACGCACGCCTGCAACATCGGTGAACACGATCGGGCACTAGGGCAATTTGTATCTCTTGCAAATTAACCCCTCATCCGACGGTTGCTGCTACCTTCCACACCATCTCTTGTCGCTCCCCCACCCTCCATCACACCATTACATGCACCATCGCGAAACGTCAGCCCCCGCACCATCGCGAGAAGCCCAACCTCACGATAGCAGGACGCTCCCAACATAGTTTGCCTCTCCTCCATAGCACATGTAGTATAGCGAGTTCGTCAGTAGTCTGTCATTTCACATATTTTCAGGTATTATTCAAGAGTTATTTTGTAATATTCGGTTTCGTAGTACAAGACCAGCAGTTTTTAGGGACAACCTATCTTTAAATGAAATTACACTAGTGTGCGGCTCTTTGACAAAACGGTCCCGCCGGTAGCAGGATTTTCCAGTCTAGCTACCTAGTTAAATCTATTTTAGCCACTGTTTAGAGGAGAATTACAGCGGCCGGCTGCTCTGATCAATGGTTTTCCGTGGTTTCTCTGAACAACACCAGGTGAATGCCGGAGCAGTACCCTAACATACAGGCCACGACCACGCAGGATCTTTGCTTCCCCTTCCCTGTTCTGTTCTCTTACTTACATACGCTTACCAAACTTTTCGGGAGCTCGGTGCTTGTCCTCGCCGGGGCGGTGGCCCGCTGGTGTAAAATACCTGCTTATCGCAATCCAGAGGGGTAATATCACCGCCACCTCACACGATAAAAACAAACTACACTTACGGGACTATACCTTAGCTGATGACGCACCCGGAATCGTTGGTGGACCACCTACCACCGCCACATCCCGCGATGACCGTCACAGGGACTAATGACTTCAGCTGTTAACGCTCTCGGAATCCATAGCAATCAACCAACTTCCTGACGAAGACGCAGCGCCTCTAAGAGCGCCTTCCCACGACGCGACAGCAGCGCGCTTCGTCAAGACTCTCGTTACGCGAAGCGGAGGAAGGGGTACACGCCACCGCTAGTAGAATACAGCTTTAAATGGTAGCCTTCCACTGCGGCCGCCGTCGCCGCGTTTTACCTGTTGCGGTCCCTTCCTGTCCGTCGTCGCCGGAGGGTCGGCGATGAGCCCTGCGCGTTGACGGAAGCGCGCCGCGTGGCGGCGTGGGAGGCGCCCTGGAAGCTGCTCTCGTAGCCTGGGCGGGCGAGCGCAACACGCGTGCGCCGAGTCGAGGGCGCGCGCCGCCAGCGACCCCCGCCCAGCGCCAGCAGCTGGCCAGCGCCAGGGGCTGCGCCAGGGCGCGCCGGCGCACCGCCCCACGCCCACCGGCCGGCGGCAGTGCCGCGCCCCGCACCGCACCCCGCGCGCGCCACCCCCCACGCCACGGCCAGCGCCACCAGCCACAGCTCGACAGCGGCCACGCACAGGCGGCGCACGCGCCGACGCCCCTGCACAAAACCATCATCATCATCATTTTATTATTATTATGTTATTATTTACTGTATTATTATTATATTACTTACTGTTATTATATTATTTATTCTTATTACTGTTATTACTGTTATTACTATTTTTACTATTTTTACTATTTTTACTATTTTACTACTTTACTATTTACTACTTTTACTACTTTACTACTTTTACTACTTTTACTACTTTTACTACTTTTACTACTTTTACTACTTTTACTACTTTTCTACTTTTACTACTTTTACTACTTTTACTACTTTTACTACTTTTACTACTTTTACTATTTTTACTATTTTACTATTATTATTATTATTATATTTTATTATTATATTGTTGACGATGTAAACGGGAAATGTTTAGTTCGTACAGTAGCTACTTGGCTTCCGAGAGTGTAAGGGCTCCATTCACAATGCACAACGTAAACATAAACATAGCGGCATAGACATAAACATTAACATAAGTGATATACTGAAGTATTCACAATGCTTAACATAAACGTAAGCAATAAGAGTTTCTATTGGCTGTGAGACATTCGGTTTACTATTGGATGGATGTGAGAATCGATTTCAAGTTATCGACTGTGCCATGCCCAAATGGAGCTAGTTCGTCATCGATTTCACTCCTCGTTCGATTTTGAGTTGATTTGATTGGTTCATTTTTATATCTAGCTTAAACATAAGCACAGAAGCTTGATGCTTGCAAGCATTTAAGTTTAAGTTAACGTCATGCGTGTATGCTTATGCGAACGCACTGTGAATGCAACGCTTATGGACGTAGTTCTAACTTTTATGTTAACCCATGCTAATGTTTATGTTTGCATTGTGAATGGGCCTTAGGCACAGAGTCAACGTTTCGGGGCAAACCATCTGATGACCTTTTTCCTCAGAGAAATACGAGGTAGTCACAGAATGGAGTCAAAACGTGGTGGCAGACAATTCTTAAGAGCGAAATGCGAGGAAGGTTGCAGCAATGGCGATCGAAACGTTGGCACCTGAGCCTAGACTGGGCATCCACGTAGCTTACTGACAGCACGGCTGAAGCTACGCTTCTCGTTTAATTTCATCCTTCAGTAATAGAATCTTAACTATTCGTATACGCATATTTTGGAGGAAAAGTGTTTAGACGTTCAGCCAATTGCTGTTTATTTAAATACGTGCATAACGAATAGCAGTGTCACTATACATGTCGTAATATTTACAAAGAATTGCGGTGAAATTAGTCAACGAATAGCTTGTATTTCATAAATACTAAACGTGCAATTAAGCCATATTAAGCGCAAAACGTGAAAAGAATATTTCTTTCTATCCTATTTCATCCAGTACTACAGTCATAAGTATCTTTTTTCCTCTATGATGATATAACTGGGGGGTTTCCCGCGGTCACCCATCCCATGTCTCGTGCGACACTTCTTTTCTTTAACCCCGGTTTACCTGGCAAACTTAGCAGACCAGACCATGCGGATGCTGCTGCTGACATTACTACCGATGTCTAGCTTTAGGATATAAAAAATTTAAAATCAATAAAATACTGAAACCGTTTACACAGCGTCCGAATACTAATACAGCGTTGTATTCTCATAGTTTTCCATGGGTCATGGAGCTTAACAATTCGATTTTGTCAAGTTTCTGAGAAAGGGTTAGCATGTTTATAAGCGTGAACGACAAGAAACCTAGATCTCAACCGAATGATATTACTCTACGAACACCCATACCATGCCAATTCTTCGTTCATTTCACTACATTTTAATCGCTCTGATTCTCTAAACGAAACTAAAAATGTTTAGTGAATCGTACCAACTAATAATTGATTTAGTTTATGATCTCTAATCACACATTTTAGTACATTGTAACTACAATGCAACCACTAAATTCAAGCTAGCGATATCACTAACGTATACAACGAGCTGCAGTAATCAAAAGTATTAAACAATAGGAGTTTTGGTAGTTTCTCACATGAAGGAATAAAATGTCTTCGGCATGTTTCATTCTTTGAATGTAATTAAAAAACAAAATATTTGTTAATGTTTAGAAGAAACATTTACATTTATTCAGTTGATATATTATGGAAATTTACTTTAATTAGATTTAACCAACGCGCGCTTTTAAAAAACGCAAAATAAGATTCCCTAAATCTCTGTGAAAGGAACTTTCATCATATTTCCTCCTCTCTCCTTAAAAAAAATGCATCAAAAATGTCCCCATCTCTATGTCTTTGCAATCTCAAACTATGTTTATACTAGTCAATAACTAGTGGTAATTTCGAAGTAAGAGACGCCTCCGCAAGTGAACGTGAGCATAATACGGCCATTTACTCAAGGTTAATATCAAAACATAGCTCATGTTTCAAGCAAACGAAGTCATCTCATTCTTTCGTTCGCGACGAACTTCGGCGCGATGCGAAGAGGCTAACCTCGACATGGGAATGGGAAATGAATGTCAACTCCCCGACTGTCTATCACGCTCACCACATTCACTTCGATGCTAATCACATTTGGTGTACATTGTTTACACATTTTGTGAGAGTACCTCCATAAAGTACTTCCTTTTAGAGAGCTGTTCTTGATCTGGATGAGTGATTTGAGTAAAAATCCTAAGTCGTTTTATACCGTGAAAATGCATTCAATTGTAATATAAATATTATAATAGTAATGCGACCACTGGATATAATAATAATATAATAATATATAAATAATAATAATAATATAATAACGAAAAATAGACATTTTCTTTATTGATTGTGATTCTACAAACAACTGCTCCTTCCTAAAAGCAATTTCGTCCCGTCTGATAAGACGATATGAAGCTATATTGTAAGATTATATTTTAATAAATATTAAAATCGAACATAAGTTTTCACATTCAAGCAAACAACTGAAATGGCGAAAACATTTATGTTCTAACAGACGTGTCGTTTTGCTTGAGGAATTTGTGAGCAAATCAGTTCGTTCTATTGACAAAGATTTCATCGAAACAAAAATATTGTTACCACAAACAGTTTGATTTGAACGAGCTATGTACTCGCCACATGTTACGTAAGACTAAGAGAATTAACTTTTATCGAAGGAACGAAGTATACCCCTAACTCACCCCTAGAAAACGAAATGAAAAATGGTGGATTTTGACAAAGTAAATGAATGAGCCAATTTATTTGTAAATGATGATCAGGATCCTTGACCCATTGAATAAATGCCGTTTTTCTGGTAGAATTAAATATATTGAAATTCATTTTAACAATAATAAATAACAAAAAGTGCGGTAAAGTTCCTTCTTTGCTGGCCAGAACATAAAGTACACGGTCATATACGCACGTCTTGTTGATCTTACCCTTTGGTTGTTTATGGGAACATCGTAGGCGAGTCGGGATATTTCGCCAAAAATTACCAAAGTCAAATCAGCAGTTCGTTTGCGATAAAAATGTCTTATTATTAGGAGCGACAACTGCGGTTTACAGCTTTAAATGCTCATTGTACTTCGTTTCATATCCATTGCCATGTAATTAGTTATAGATTGGGAGCTCAAGGAAACTAGCACAATTTATAGCTTGTCTCCCCATAACGCTACCCGCGG